CAAGATAGGCTAACATACAAAGCCAGTTAGCCTTACTTAACAATCAAATTATTTCTGCATATTAATGTATTGTATTACCAGGTGGACTCTGATTGGACGGTGGAGATGTACTCATGTTTATGTAATGATCTGTTTAAATGAAGATATCTCCAAATACATTCTCACTAGTTCTTTATGAGGTTGAAGATATCTCCAAATGAACAAGGAGACGTAGTTATTTTGTTTTTGATATCATCTTTTAATTTCTGACTAGTAATTATTGCAATAGTGACTAGTATCTATCTATATATTACTAGTAAGCGTTCATTAGATACTAGTACTTATTTTGTAGATACTGGTATGATGTTATGACTAGTCCAAATGGCTACAGTAGAGTTCAATTAAAAGATTTACTAGTAAAATAAAAAATTACTAGTATCTAATAATAAGTACTAGTACCTGATGAATAAGTACTAGTGTCTATTTAATAGGCACTATCTAATGGACAAGTACTAGTATCTAAAAAATATGTACCAGTACCTAATGAATAACGACTAGTGCATAAAAATTAAGTACTAGTCACTAGTGCAATACATACTAGTCAAAACTGAATAGTTGATATCTCAATGATGGATCCCCATAGAAGTCAATGGCAAAAATGTAATTTTTTTCTAGTAACAATATAATAGTTACTAGTCACTATTGAAATAAGTACTAGTATCTCAACAAATATCAGATTTTTTATAAAACTTCATGGTTGACTGTCATGGTGAAAAAACAACTAAACATTTTGACCAGTGTGGCTCACACGATGACAAAAATACTTTATATTTTGGTGGCCTTGGCCAAATTACTGACACGATAACTAGGTTTTGAAGCATGAATGAAATGTTTTGGGTGAGTAACTACATTTTGCAGACATGCAATAAAGTTCTGAAGTTCCAGCAAACAGTTGTGATATTTGCACTCACAGTTTAGAGAATGTTAAGATTGTTTCGAAAAATGTGCCAAAGCAATTGAGAAAAACTGTAAATTAGATACTAGTGCGGTTTATAGATTAAATGTTAAAACAGCTTGCCATATTCGTATGGCTCTGTTAACTGAATGCAATGAATAGGAGAATGTTTGTGTCGTGATGATGAGCATACACTCTCACTACGAGTTGCTAAATGAACAGGCTGCTGCACGCAGGTTTTTTTGTTTCAATGGAGAATCAGCTGCCTAATTGGTTAAAATCCCCAAACTGTTTACTTTAATATTAAAATAAGAAATTACATTCAAATTCAAAGTTATCACTTTGGTAATCTAAAATACTTTTCGGATGTAACTGTAATTTGATTACCCCTTATTTAAAATGTAATTGTAACGAAATACAGTTACTCATATTTTGTATTTTAAATACGTAACGCCGTTACATGTATTTCGTTACTCCCCAGCCCTGCTAATAATCAACATTTAACCTGGTAAAAAAAAATATTTATTTATTGTTATCCGTGTTATATTTCATCTGCAACAGCAATGTGAACATTTATAAACATCCATTGGTCGTTAACTTTTAAATGCATCATTATGCAGAAAATATGAGCAGAGTTCTCCGCATGAAAGTCCCTCGACTGGCAGATCAACGAACTACTTCTTTTCTCTCCAGTACGGTAGAAAGTTAAATGAAATGAAATGTGGAGGATGTTAACTGTGACAAGATGATTGACAGGCCAGTTTACAGTGACAGGGTGCGTGTAACAGGTGCGACAGAGCGGTCCTTTAAAGGTCCCATGGCATGAAAATTTCACTTTATGAGGTTTTTTAACATTAATATGAGTTCCCCTAGCCTGCCTATGGTCCCCCAGTGGCTAGAAATGGCGATAGGTGTAAACCGAGCCCTGGGTATCCTGCTTTGCCTTTGAGAAAATGAAAGCTCAGATGGCCCAATCTGGAATCTTCCCTTTATGTCGTCATACGGGGAAAGGTTACCTCCCCTTTCTCTGCTTTGCCCGCCCAGATAATTTGGCCCGCCCATGAGAAAATGAGCTACTACCGTGCGAGGCGAGCGCAATATTTTTTTTTCCTCGAGAGACATCATGGCTTGCAAACGAGCGAAGCATGGCAGTTGCCCCGCCTCTCTCCTCCTCATTAGCATTTAAAGCTACAGACACAGAAATGGCACGTCCTAAGGAAAGCTCATTGTGGGACTGGCTCGTAGTGGCTGAAATTCTGCACCAAGGCTGAATTTCGGGAAAGAGACTTCAGATACAGTACTAGGGACCACTTAGGCCTATATAAAAGCATCCAAAAAGCAGCATGTCATGGGACCTTTAAAGACGCAGTTGTATGACCTGATAATATGTCCCAAAGCTTGCCTACTCTTCTACTACACACTCAAAAGTGTGTACTTTTAATTTCACCAAAAGAGTACATACTTTAAGGGCGTAGTATAAGTAGGCACATTGAGATGCAGCCTCTGGTTTTTTGCAGTGTTGTAACCTACAACACGTTGGTGGGAGGAGTTAGTGTAAATCGCCTCTGTCATTAAGAAAACAAAATAAACATAAAAATACAGGAGAGTAGCGTTTTATTTTCACGAGAGGGTAATCGAATGTGCCTTTCTCTTTTTTGGCTCTGTACCTTGTCGTCTATCCGCCATAGTCTAGTATTTAAACATTCATAAGGGATGGCACTCGTCATTAAATTATGCACATATCCAAAAAGGAATTCATTACTATGCAAATATCCAAAGAGGAATTCAATACTATGCAAATATCCAAAAAGGAATTAATTACTATGCAAATATCCAAAAAGGAATTCATTACTATGCACATATCCAAAAAGGAATTCATGATATCTTAAAGTGTACCTGAAGTATACTTGCAATAGTTCCACTTTTAACACAATCAAATATACTTCAGAATATCTTTAGTTGGACTTCAGCACTACTTTCTTACAATTAAAGAGCATTAAGTACACAATTAGTTGTTCCAATTTAGCAGACTTTAAGTATACCAGTTAAGTGATAGGCTATGTAAATAATATGTAAATGTATTCGTAGTATAGCATTTTTGTATATTTATTTTTCACTAGGGAAGGCATCTGTAAAGGCTTTTCAATCGACCATTTGGCCAAATTGTTAAGTGGCTGAGATTACTATTTCAGTAAAATTAATCACATTCAATTAACTAATTTTATGTAAGGGCTTTTTATGTGATATTTTATTTTATCACAATGGATTGTTATTTCTTTTAAACTCTTTGATGTAATGTTTTGTTTTGTTCATGTAATGTTTTGTTCACGTTGTCAGCAGATGTGCCCATGTTTTTATCCATAAAACTGAATAAAACATTGGTGCAAAAATTGCTCATTTTTTATGAGACTTTAAACAAATATATATATATATCGATTTTGTTTTCTGAATAAATGTTAAAATAGTGTTCAATAAGTATAGTGTCATCCATGTGTGTACACATTATTATAAAAGATATTTTTTGTTTTGGCCCTCCTGTAAAGTAGGTGAAATGTCACTTACACCCGTCTAGTTCTCACCCCGTTACCAAAATTCTTTATGTGAGGTTGGTTGGTCATGAGATCATACAACAGGATTTAAGAGAAGAGTTTATTTGCAATAGCATGCAAATTGACAATGCAGTTCAGACAAGCTTCAAATACACCTGGTATATTCACTGGTATACACCTGGTATAAATACACATATACACATGGTATATTCACTGGTATACACCTGGTATAAATACACATATTCACATGGTATATTCACTGGTATACACCTGGTATAAATACACATATACACATGGTATATTCATGTACAAAATAAAGAATAATCTTCAATTCAGTGCTAAGCACTGACATAAAATTAGCAAAATCCTGTTTACAGTCTTATTGAAAATAAACTCTTACTGAAGGGTTGCTACATGGAGTAAAACTGCCATTCTACATTCATCTCATCTACTTCATTGCTTGGTGTGTTCCATTTTGATGATCTGAATTTGTAAATAAAAATCCTGGAAGTCTGTATAACTATGTTGTAATATTCATGTTGTTTAAAAGATTGATAAAAGTAAAATAAATAACATGATATGATATGATTTTTTAATCTGAATTGTATTGACTTGTTGATAATGACAATTTGTATCAAAAAATAACACAGTCCTACTTCATTATTCATGTAAGCAAAACACCAATGAGCTTCCTCATACTGCAGTAAATAAAGTGCTTTCAAACTTTCTCTAATACAGACCAGACTAGTGTAGAATTCGTATGAAGACTTTTGGGTGGGACACACAGGTGGGATATCTAAAAAAAAACTACAAAGGGCTACAGTCAATATGTAGACTAAAGTCACATCCCCCCCCCCCCCTTAAAAACAATGTT